CGCACCAACCTATATCTACCAGTTTAGATATATTTGCTTTGAAGGGGAAAGAAGAAGAACAGAATCAATAAAAGAAAGCAAGAGGAGATGAAGGAAAGAAAGCTACCTCTTGAACGTCTGCTTGCTGCTCCAAGACAGTGACTCTGGCCAGCCCGAGCGATACCAATGGCGGCAGCCAGCCCTCCCAGGCCAGCTCCAACTATAGCTACGTGGAAACAAGGAGAACCCATAATGGCTTTTCGGCCCCGTCCAAGTATGACAGACCAAATAAAGATAAAAGAGGTGATATACCCAGGCAAGAGAAAAATAAAATAAAAATGCAATAAAATAAAAGGAATATATAGGATAGAGTATACGTTGATGAATGGTGGGGAGGGGACCCGGGCAGGAGAAGTAAGAAGAGGGCGAGCCCACTCAAGCGTCACCCACCGGGAAAGGAAAAGAAAAGGGAAAGGGAATAACGTACGTTTGAGTGTATGTAAGTATGAGAGATAAAGACAAAGTCCAAAGAAAGAAGAAAGAAGAAAGAGAATTCACGGCACCTTAAAGGCGCACCCCGGGACTCACCGGCTGCATGAACATATATATATATATATATATATGTGTGTGTGTGTGTGTGTGTGTGAGCATGTATTATATAGACTAGCACCCAGAGCCCTTCTGTAGCATGGCTAAGCTAAGAATCCAAAAAGGGATGCGAACTCCGCGGCAACGGCAAGTGAAAGGCGGCAAAGGAGGAGAATTGTTGTTAAGATTGATACGGAGTAGTAAGTCGAACCATCCAGGAGGTAAATATGAGAAACTAGCAGGCTGGGCACCTACAAACGGTCTGTACAATAGTCGCTCATCCTCGCTAAACCCATACGCCCGAGTAGGCAAACTATTGGGTCAGAGGTGGGAAGACGGCCAGGGGGCGGGTTAAAGAAAATCATTATTCAAGGGTATATACTCCGTACACTCCGTAGAGAGGAGCAATGGCAGTCCGTGAGGCCTGGACAGAGGGGTCAAGTGGGAGCCCGGAGGAGATACCCGTTAGAAGAGGGTTGGTTGCGGTGCAGAGCCAGGACAGATTTGAATGCCATGCAGTGTCAAGACCACGACCATCCAGGGGTGTGAGCGGAGGCAACATGCTTGGGCCATGTTGGTCTAGGAGTAGTCGTAGTCGTAAGTAGTCTTAGTACTCCGTAGAAGTAGCTAGCTTAACGTGGAGCCTGTGCAGAAGATAGCAGAGACCCGGCGATGAGTTTAGCTCAGGCCAGCATCGTGAGATCGCCTTTTCTCTCTCTCTCTCTCCCCCTTCTTTCTTTCTGGCTTTAGTCGAGCAAACGCTAAAGCTTAATTATTGCGGTGAGCATGGGATGGCTTATGAAAGGATAGATAATTAATAAGCTGTTATATAAGCAAGGAGTTATGTTATTCCATATATTACGTAATACATAAAAAGAGGAAGGTGATAAGGATGAGTAAGCAGGTCACATGCCATGCGATGATTGGATTGACCCTTGTCCGTCGAAGACCAGCAGCAAGCAAGCAGGCAGGCAGGCAGGCAGATGCAGCACGACCTCAAGCAGAAGAGCAAGCAAGAAGAGGAGGACAGGAAGAAGAAAAGGGACGAAGAACGAGGCGGAAGCGAGGGGGGAAGCCAACATGAAACCCGTCGTGAGCCAGGGCGAGGGAGGACCAGCCGTCGGGAGAAGGGCCTTGCGAGCCCGCCTGTGAGAGGGTCGGCTGTCACCAGGGGGGAGGGGGATTTAGGGTAGATATAGGAGGGAGATCACCTCGCTCAGCGACCCCTTCGCTCCCCTTGTGCCCCTTCTGCTGCCTCCATAGACGCCACTAAAACAAGTGCCTAGCGGCTGACTGGCGGGCTATTTATAGGGACGAGAGTTAATATCCGACAGCCTGATACAACAACAACCATCATCGCCAGTTAGAGACTAACTAGGAATCATTTCACTTGAGTATCACCTCGAGCACTTTCGCAGACTCCAGACTATTATATCAGTTAGCAGTGTGCTTTGTATCGTAGAAAGCCTGCAGCCGGCGCCTTTACGGCTGGGCTGGGCCGAGTGTACTTACTTGACTCCATCCAGTCACTAGTAACAGACGACGATGCAGAAGAAAAAAAAAAAAGAAAAGAAAAGAAAAAAGGAAAAAAAGGAAAAAAACAGAAAGAAAAGAAAGCGAGCGCAGAGGAAGAGCGGCAGTTGGCGGGCGACTCCGCTAGTCGCGGCACCGCAGCAGGGTCCCAGGGCGGCCGCAGCCAGTCAGAGCCACGAACGAGGCACAGCGAGACAGGCAAGCCTGCGGTGGCCCACCCCCTGTCAGCCCCCAAAAGGGCCGGCCAAAGGGGGAGAAGGGGGGCCGCTGACGCCTGGCTGGCAGTGCTGCAGGGGTGGCTCCTATGGACAGAAGCAGAGAGCAGAGAGAGAGGCAGACGAGGCAGAGAGCAGAGAGAGAGGCAGACGAGGCAGAGAGCAGAGAGAGAGGCAGACGAGGCAGAGAGAAGTCGAGAATATCCGTATCAAAGAGAGGTCTAGGAGAGTCAAAGAGAACGCCCACCACCCAAGTTTAACTAGCGTCCAGCAGCACCAGCACCAGCACCAGCACCAGCAGGCGAGCGAAGGGGAGACGCAGCGAAAGGGGGCCCAGCGGGGGCCCGCCGGGATGCCCCGGCAGCGCCGGCCAGCCAACGAGCGGCGAGCAGCGCGCAGACAAGCCCGTCGAGCTAGCCGGCCTGGCAGCGCCCAAAGTTCGCCCCCCCCATGCGCGATCCGCCCAGCCGCCCACCCAGCCAGCAGGCGGTAAAAGCTCGTTCCCCTTCGGCTGCTGGAGAGCTGCGAGGGTGCGCTGCCTCCCTGCCTCCCTGCCTCCCTGCCTTTGTTTCGCGCGCGCTGCTCGCTGCTGGCTGCTGGGCTTGCTGGCTGCTGCAGCCGGCCCAGCGAATGCTGCGATGCTACTGGTACTGGGTGCTGGGTGCTGACGCTGGCCTGCATGCCCGCCCCCCCCCCCC